TCGTTTATATTCGTTTCTATCTTTCTCGCTTTCTATTCTTTCTTCTCTGTCCGGTCAGGTTGCCTCCTTCTTTCTCATTGTCAGTTTCTCGGTTTCTTTCTCGCTCTGTTCTTCGATGCAAAGCAGAAGAAACCCCCGCGGTTACTCGTTCGTTCTCAAAAGTCTTACTCTCGTTGTCACGCGCTAAAAATACTCCCGCACAGTCTTCCGAGGGTGTACCATGCCAAAGGAATACGGGAATTAGGACGACAAAAGCAGTCAACGTCGACCTGGAACTGTCATGGAACGACTTTCAAGAGTGGCATGTTATTTCCGATGGATGAAGAACACGCTACCTCATGATGCAAGTAAAGCAGAGGACGAGCATAAAACTGTCGAGGATGAACGACATCGGAATGTCGGGTGCAGTTTCGAAGCCTCGAGGCGACTTTGTGGTATTCTGGAGAGTATCCTTCTTTGGGAGAATTCTGTGAACAGTATCTCCGTCGTCATTGTATTTAATATATTGTTCTGGTAAGTCCGCGTAGTGTTGTAGTGTCGTGTGCGTCATTTCAAGGTACACTATTATGTGCATGATTTCGTGAAATTTGATTATCGACACATGTTTTTCCATCGTAGAGAACAGATAGCCGTTTGAGTTTCAACATCGGTCAGATTACAAAATAAAGAATTCTCGTGACATTCAGCACGACGCTGAATAATGAATATAATTTTTTCAATGCTCTTTCGTGTTTCTCTTTTTTCGACTAACAAATCTACTACGACATTTCATAAAAAATTTATGCGCATTAATAGTAGTCGTCGTGAGACATTCGGTATGTTTCTAAATGCTTTCGAAGTGATTTATCTTCTAGGTCAAGGTTTGTAAAAGCGTGCATGTTTTGGCGTTTCATTTGTCAGTTGTAAATAACAGTATCAGTACTCGAGCATTTTGATGCTTTGTATTATTTTTGTATATATTCCTTCTGCGATAAGCGTACGAACAACGTCACATGACGTTATTTACATATACTACGAAAACAAGTTAATATAAGTCATTGATGGGTTTCCGAACTTCCGTATAATAGAGATATTGTAAAATTTATTTCTCCGTCTCTTTCTTTACAATTATACATCCCCGTGACATTCATATTTGCTTTGTCGAATGAATTGCATGTTCTCTGCGTATTTTCCCACCGGGTTTACTGCACTATTCTAGATGGCAGTGTGTTGACAATTAAAAAACTATTGTATAATTGAAAATCGTTTGATCTATATTACGCGTAAATTCAATATTTACTTTGCCATTGTTTTAATTGATTATATACTCAGTTATTCACAAATTTTAATGTAATTGCGAATACAATAGATTAAATGCTTATTTCATAGTTGTATTTATCTATAAATTAAAAGTAAATCAGTCTTATGCGTTAAAATATATTATTTACTTAAGAATATTAATTTTATGTATATTTTTTAGGGGTATTGTTATATTAGAGATTCGAGGCTTTGCTGCAGCCAGCAGTGCTGCACTAGTCATTGTACTCTGTTATAATACCTTGGAAGCTCAAGTTCACAATGAAAATAAAGCATTAGACACAGCTGCGTATGTATTAAGCGTTTCCAAAAATTTTGTGCTTATATATTTATAACTATTTTATGCATGCATGTAATTCATTTAAAATATATAATTTGTAGTTCCTATACGAAAGCAGAACAGATTGAAAAGATAGGGAAAAGAATAAAATCTGTAATTTGTAGCTTGAAGCAATTAAGGAAAGAACAACCAGGAGTGGTAATATTTTATCGATTAATGTATACATTATAATATAGAAATAGAAAAATATAGTTAATCAATGCATATCTCATTTAGCTATGCTACTTGCATGTATAAATATTAAAAATCATTTCAGTTTTGTACTGCAGTATGTTCTCTTTCTTTGGGGCTATGGATTATTGGCCGTACTATAAATGGTATACTTCTTATATATACGATATGCATGAGCATTTTACTTGGACCTGCATTGTTGTTGAAATTACCTAGCAAAATGGTGGTACATAAAGGTAATTGATATATTGACAAATATAAAAGATCTTATTTTTACTAACAACAATGAGAAAGATAATTGTATTGAAGTTAAAGAAAAGAAAGATATGTAACTAATATGATTAGTGAATATTAATTTTCACTCTATTTCAGAATGGGATAGTGAAATTGAAGAATTTTTACCAGCAGTAACTGAAGATAATCTTCAAGTTCTTACAAGAGCTGGAGAATCAGGGGATCAATCCCCAACACCGACAAGTGTATTATCTGATGCTCAAAATGGTATAATTATTTAATATTAGTAATTGTAATTAAATATTAAATATTAAATATTATTTATTTAAATAGTTATTTAATACTTATTTAATAAAATTATTCTATAAAATTATGCTGAATTTTTTTTTTTAATTACAGAGTTTCTTATTGATGAAGAGCTTTTGGGTCTTAAAATGCCATCACACGAAGATGGAAGTACTGATGGTGTAGAAGTTTCTGAATTAGAGCTTAGTGCTGAAGAAACTGATGTGGATGGTATTAAATTTCAAAGTGGCCATTTTGAGAAAGGATCCTCTTCTGAGGAAGAAGCAGAACTTGAACCTCTATCAAGTAAATTAGTTAGTCATAGTGATGAAAGTGGTAGCGAATTTGAAATAATTGATGGTCAAGAAATTGATAATTTAGACATTGCATGAAAATAACTGATGTGTAAACTGTGAAGTTATTATTATGCAGAATAGACTTAAGTAAAGAGTTGATTTTAAAAACGATTTTATCGGGTAATAATTAAGTAATTATTTTATGATAATTTTAGCTACTTGCTTATTGCCGAATATTTACGCAAAATTGATATAACACCGATTTGAATAAAATGGAAAAAAATCATATATTACTAAAAAAAATAATATAAATTATATTGCTCTAAATTTATATACTTGAAGATACTTTGAGGTATTTCAAAAAATTTAAAATTTAGATATTTTTTTTATGTTGTGCAAATGATAGCTTCTCAGTAGTTACATATACTTATATTAAAGTATATTCATGAAATTGTACATATTATGTGCAACAAAGAGAATTATCTCACTTACAAATGATTCTTGATGTATATAAGAGATCAATTATCAAAAAACTTAGAGGGAAAAGGATAAAATTGAACAAATAACGATTGTCAATTTAAATGTCGCTTTGACCTTCATGGCCAAAAATGATTTTGTATATATGTATCACACACAGAAAATAATTATAATTACCTGCGGATTATAATTAAGAAATTAGAAACTACAATGTCCATTATGCAGCAGGTAGAAGATAGATAAATATTATCATAGTAAATATGTACTCTGTTTTTGATATTACCGAAATTAAAATATGTAAAAATAATTATACTTATCAAGAATCAATTTTTAATATTGCATAAATATTGTTTTGTGTCATAAATAAATTACATAGTTTTGCAACTCAATTTTAAGTATTAAATAGAGTGTAACATCTATGCATAAATAATATATTTTATTGATTACAAAATTTTTTTTATTAATTACAAAACATTAAAACTCTATTTAAAACTTAAACTAAAAGAATTGGTCACATAACATGTATGAAAAAGTCTTCAAAATATTTTTTTATCGAATAAAGAGAATTTTTGTGTAATAAATTCTAAATTAAATTACAAAACAATATATCTCTATCTTCAAATAATTAACATAAGATTTCTATTAAAAATGATACCACTTATGTAAGCAATTTTATGTAAGTAATTTTATTAGTAGTGTATACATACAAATGTTAATATTAAATTTTTAAATGTATTATTAATTTTACCCAAATTTTGCAGAAAGTATTTAATTATTTCGTAAATAATATTTTATTAGTAAAGTAAAAGAATGAGCTTTAATGTGTACAGATAATAAACGTAAAAAATTAATAATAACCAAATTATTATTAAAAAATTGTGTTTTAAGAAATAATGCGAATTTTTAAAAAATTAATTTTTAAATATTGGAAGTTATTTTCTAGTCATGATAATTCTATTATATCATACAAAATATAAAATAACAATACTTGAAGTAATATATTTAGTTTTATGTTAATTTAATTTATTCTTGTAACTTTGCTCTATAAAGTAATAGTGTAAATGATAATAGATATTAATGTAAATGTATATAAATTGTATACAAATATAGAATATTTTTGAAATTTTCTTGCAAAATTTGAGAAAAATTGATCCAAATTTTTTTTTAAAGTTTGAACATTTTTTGTTTTGCCTTCACTTTATCATTTTGCATAAGAGATATCATGTTTAAAGTAAATCTGTGAAATTACCTTCAATAAAAACAAACATCTTTACTTTATTTAAATTATGTGCATTGATGCTTTGTGATATGTGTTACTCCATTTAATATCCCATATATATAATTAATGTACTTAATATTCAATTTCTTAGAAACAAAATTTGTCGTTTTATTAATATATTTTAAATATATGTACTTTTTATTTATAATAATTTACATGTGTATACATCAATTGATGTATGTATATGTACTTTTTATAAAATATACTATGGTAATAAAATAATTAATAAAAAATAAAATTATATACAATATTACATTTACTTTCTTATCTATAACATATTTTTGTTATGTATTTATACTTTTAAATTCATTAATTGATTCTACCTCACTATTTACATGAAAAATATCTTTCTTATCATTGTAAATATCTAATGTATGTTTATTATCTTCTAATGGTACAATTAATTGTGCATTCTTCCTTTCTGGTAAAACTTGCAGAAAGACTTCTTGCCATGTTTTTCCTTCACTAACTCTAAGCAAAATTTCAAATACTAAAAAGATATATACATACACACACATATATATATGAAGTTTGTATGTTAATTAGTAAATTTAGATTTGTATCAATCATACCATGATCAACAGTCAAAACTTTCCTTGCCTTCATATTTAAAAATTTATCTAAAGGTAATCTGCCATGTCTCACACCAGCTTGCAAAGCTAATTTATGACAAAGGCCCTAAAATAAAAAATTTAAATAAGATATTTGTATAATTTCTTTTTTTATTTTCTTATAAGTTTTGGCTTACTTTATGACTATTATGATCAACAAGACCACCTATAACGTACACATAATCATGTTCTAACCGAGTAATTACATTTTCTGATTCGCTAGTAAGATATATAATTTTTTCCTTTGGATAAATATCCAAATAAGGTTCTGCATGAAATTTTACCTATACATTATTATATATTATATGTATTAGATTCCATAAAAGTTGAAACATAAATTAGATTAACTACATTTAATTTCTTTGTTTATAAAATTATTGTAATTTCATTAAAAAAACATACATCCCAATGTTCATATCCATTGTGCTTTTGCATATCGGCTTTTGATTTTCCATTAAAACTAGTAAGGGAAAATTGCATTGGTGCAATAGCTCGTCTATTCAAAGTATAACATCTTAGTATCTGTTTAGTTAATTTTGCAATGTCCTTATCGATCATTAAATCATCAAAAGATAAATCAATAGTTATTCCAATTTTACAATTGCTATCTGCCATTGTGCTTTTCTTTAAAGCTTTCCTGGATGGCCCAAGATCTATATTATTTGCACGAGCGAACGCTCGTTTTTGTCTTATTTTTTCTCGTTCACGTAATCTGTGAAGTTAGAATAATTTTTAATTAATAATATTGTTAAATTTAGTTTGATATAATTTCATAAAACTCTTATTCTATTATGTAGTGAAGTTATATAATTCATTGTAGAATCATATATAAATTTTTAATTTCTTAAGGAATTAAGAAATAAAAACCTTCGCTCAACCTTTCGTGTTAACCATTTTTCCTTTTTTTTTACTTTCTTCAGCTGATGTTTACTTAAATTTGGATGCAATTCCGATAATTTTTTATTAAAACAAGTTTTCTGATCGCAAACTTTTGCATACTGTACATTTCCAATTTTTTCAATATTATTTGTATCTGTTTCATTCTCCATATTTTCACAAAAAATGTGTAAATGAAATTCGTGTTGTTTTGTGAAAGAATCTACTGAACTATAACGTAGAGTTATCTAAGGGAACTCTTGCTTCATTCAAGTGCTAACTATGCTTAAACACATGAAATTATGATAAATGTAAAGTAACATTACGTACTTTGTAACTATTTTTTATAACAAAAAATCATTTAACGTCATTGATTGTGTACGCTTGTTTACATTTAATTATTTCTCTATTGAAAAATAATTGTTTATTGTTTAATCGATTATAACTATTGCATTAACTTTTAGATTATTATCTTTTTGGCTCTTGCAAGATATCAATAAACATATTTTTTAAAGAAAATTCTTTAACATTTGATTCTATTTGAAAAATTAAATGAAATAATCTAAAATTTCTGGGGATATTATAATAGTGAAAATAAATGTTGGCAATTAGTTCAATAATCCTGGATGAAAATCTAAATCATCTTTCCGTAGTGAAGCAGACGATTTTTCTACAGTTAGAAACGTGTTCGATCGGTTTTTGTGAAGTGAGAGGATGCAAGTTATTGGGGTTGATGGTCGTGTTGTCGGCTATTTTTTTTGTTTCCTAATACTCCAGGCAAAACTAACCAACTCGAGAACTTCTTGGAGGCTCAGTGCTGATAAAGTCGTCAAGACAACAGATTTCGTAAGCACGGTTGAGGATGATCCTATTTTCGATATCCTGGCAAGCAGCATCAGTGTCGGAAATGGACAAAGTTGGAGTAGATCAGCTATTTCTGAGAAATACGAAAAGATACAGCCTTATTGTCAAGATTGCAAAAGTGTTACTTCCGGGAATCACGAACGGTAAGAAATTGCAGGAGTTTAGTTAATCCTGGTAAGAGCTACGTGGCATATTTCGTTTCAGAATGTCAGATTGATACTTGTAATATCTCGAAACAAATTGGATTACATTGAGATCTATATTTTCAAATAATACAATAATTCAAGAATTTATACATGCTTGAAGTAAATTGTATTAAGATCATGTTTCATGATTTTTTGTATTCTCAAGATATTCCTAATAACATTTCATTTAATTGAAAAAATATTTAAAGATCTGAAAAGATATATCTCTCAAAGATAAATATTTTGTTACTTTTATATTTATTTAGTCCATTTCATGATATTGATGTTTACAATACACACAACATATAATAATTAATATCAATACAATTTTTATGGAAATAATAGTATAGTATATTTGACATTATTTTCTATTTATATTGCATGTTTTGCATGTTTTATATGATTATTAGTATGTAATTTATTATTATAATATATGTTTCATCATTATATTATATTATTAGAAAAGTACAAGACTATACAAAATATTTCAACATGAAACATAAAGAATTGTTAATTAATTAAAAAAATTTATATGAACTTTGTATAGATGTATAAACATTTTTATTTCTATATTTTAATTATCAATTTTTATATTTTAGACTTTTTTTTAATGATTATTATAAATAACCTGATGTAATTTTCTTTTTCTTCCTGTAGTTAGTATTTGTGTGTGGCTTACTGTTCTTTCAGCGTTAAAAAAGCCCTAACTTTGGTCCCCTTGGCAGACGATTCTCGTCATACGTGTTGAAGGATACACCAAATGCCACTGAATCTTTCCCTCTATCATCTCAAGTGTCAAATGAGCAAGTGATGTGTACTTCTGGTCAACAATGTGAGGATATAATCCTGGATTGTGGGAAACCTGTCAATTTTACTTATTATGACAACTTGCTCGGTGTTGCAAATAGAGATAAACATCCACTGGTTCCAGAACCTAATGTAGCACTCATGTTTAAGAAGAATGGTGGCAAAACTATGGATGTTGACATTGATTTGTTAGAGAAACGTTTAATAAAAGCAAAACGGGAGGTATATTTATTAGGAAATATTTGTAAATAGATAAGTAAGGACTTTTTACAAAACTATATATATATATTTTATTGAATTTGTTGTAGAAACCAAAGTCTGTTCAACTTTACAATCAAATAGGAAATTTTTGGCGCATAAAGGGTGATGCACAAAAATCAATTGAATGCTTTCGAAGAGCACTTGCTGTATCGCCACATAATGCAGAAGTTTTGTTAAATTTAGCTAGAGTATTATTAGTTCAACAATATTTGGATGATGCAACATATTTAGCAAGACGTTCTTTGGAATTGCAACCTCCAGATCGTAATGCTTGGGAACAATATCTTACGCTTGGTCAAATATTCAAGGTAATTGAATATTTTAAAAATATAATTTGTTTTATGTAAGAATAATGCATTTAAATATATATTCTATTTCATCATTCTTATTTATAATACAAAACTGGCAAATAAAAGAATCTTTAAACTTGTTTTAAAATATCATCAAGAGATAATTTATCGTTACAATGTTTCCTTCATTTCTAGGCATATGGCCATTATCAAGAAGCAGCTGTACATTTACGACATGCTCTAGAATTAAAACCAGATCTCTCTGAAGCAGCAGAAGCTTTAAGAGAGGTGGAATCACTTCCGGCTGCAAGCATACATATCTATACATTACTGATAATTATATGTCTGGTATGTAAGATAAAAAGATATCATTATATTGCTTCATTAGTACATATTATATTAAAATAAAATATAAATAATTATTATTCATGATATATATTCAAAATACATAATATTTATATTGCAGGTACTTGGAGTACTATTAGTAATTTTAAGCAGTGTAGAATGTGATGAAGAGTCTAGTCTAGTTAATGGACAACTTCAACGTCCAGTTCAACGCCACTTTAGTCGCGCTATGGCTATGCGCAGTTTACGGCTTAATGTTGCCCGTAATAAACGTTGTTGATTATTTGCTAAAAAAATGAAAAACTTTGTGATAGAATAAAATTTTCAGCTATTGTTATCATTTATCTAACTATGAAATATTATTTGTAATATAATTTTTATGATTATGCAATTTATTATAATTATAAATGAAAATATACAATAACAAACAACACCATTTTCCATTTACTATAAAAAGAAAAATAGCGTTAATGATAACATATTTGAATGCAAACGTTTTAGATATGTGTACTGTAACACACGTGCGCGAGTGATTTATTATAGTACTTTGGAATGTCATTTACGGAATTATAAGATATTTTTGTGATTATGTTAAATATTAACATAGATATTATTAACAATATTACTTAACATCATTTACAATATACAGTAATATTAGAATATAAGTAATCACTTTATGTACCTACTCACAAGATCTAATGAACTTTTTTTTTTATATCTGTAAATAATTTACAATCATATACTTAATTTAAAATTTAATATCATATTTAAATAATAATTTTTAATATATACATAAAATAATGAATTTCTTTTACTCCTGCAAATAAAAATATCTAATAAATTTATTTTACATTATTTCGAATATAGATTAATTTTTTGTTCATTTAATATAACATTTTCTAAGATTTTATACAATAATCTTTTCAGATGCGAAACAATAATTTTCTCTTTTACTCTATATTCTCTTTAATATATAGTTTTTTCATATTATTTCTAATTTTATATTTGACCTACAAAATATTTAAACAAAATTTAAATCAATATCAATGTAAAATAAATATTTAAAGCGTTTTAAAAATAAAGGAGTACAATACAAAGATCTTACATTTCATAATACAACTAAATGATAGCGCAATAATGTGAAATATTTTTTTCTTAGCTTATCAATGCAAAAAAAGTCGAAATATAATCCAAAATGTAATAATCTATAAAATTAGGCCGTACATTTGTACAATTTCTTCTTTGTACAAATATCGGAAATTAACATTACTTAAGACTGTAATTCATATTCTTTTAAGGGTTTTCACAAAGAATGTATCCATGCAATAGAAAATACTGAAAACATTTTCAGTGTATTTTGTATTTAACATTGTACTAATAATAAAAATTCTTGTTATTATTAGTACAAATTTTATATTTGATGTCATAAACTTATTTTTATTATTCTCTAATATATCTCTCATTATTCCAACCATCTTTTTTTTTGAATTTGTACAAGATGATAAACTTATTTGTTAATTATTTATATAAAAAATATGAGTATTTCACACATTTTATATAATTTGTTTAAATAAGAGATATATATGTACATTTTTTTAACATTATAAATAGTAATAGAAGAAAAATTAAATATCAATCTAGACTTATTAGTCTATTTTAATATTTTATAAAATCATACTAATATATGTTAATGAATAAATATATATTTTACTTAATACTTGAACAAAAATCATAAAATCTTAATTCTTAAACAGAATGTGTTATTAATTTAAGAATTAAATTAATTGAATTAAAATAAATTTAACTGAATTAAAACGCAAATTTTTAAAAAATATAATACATTGAAATATATGCAGTTAATTCACTATGTACATAGAAACATCTTTGTCAATAATTACCCTTAAAAGATATCTATATGCAACATGCACTCATGTGCATATAATGCATATGTAAATTAAAATATGCAAATATAATTCTATAGAACTGCTATATTAAATTTTAATATAACCTTTTAAGTTAAAATTGAACCCAACTGGCATTTCCCACTGTTGGTGGTTGTTGAGTTTGAGATTGCTGTGATGCACTTGCAAATTCTCCCCATTCAGAACTTGGTTGGTTTTGATTCTGAACAGGTTTATGTGCGGGGGATGAGGTTGGAGTTTTTGCAGGTGGTGGTGCAATTTTCACACCACCTGGTGGAGGTGGCAAACCCAAGTTTGTATTGGCACGTTGTTTTGTTTTAGCAGCAACTTCACTACCATCCTTTTTCTGTATTATAAATATAAAAATCTTAAAATTTATTACATAATGTAATATGTAAATTTGTACAACAGCCAAAATAATAGAAAAAACCTTACAGTAATTTTCATGTTTATTTTTATTGTTTCTCCTTCTTTAAATCTGAGATCCAACTCTTGTTTTGGTGTATCTTTTTCTTTTTCTATTTGTTCTTGATTTCTAAGCCATTTAAAATGATCTTGGAGGGCAACATTTAAATCAAAGCTATCAGATCTATCGAGAAATCCAACACCAATAAAAGCTGATCTTCCATTATCATCTTGAATTCTTAGAACAAAATAACGAGAAGAATCGGTCACTGGTTCAACTGCAATTCCTGGATATTGTTCTATGGGACATTTTGCAAACAATTCTCCAGTTACTTTATCTTCCAATTTGATAGTAATGGAGTCTCCCTGAGAGACAAGACGCATACGTCCAGTCCATGTAGGTTCTTGAAGATTCCAATCAGCTGCTCTGAAATGTAATACACATTTATTAAAAATAAAGTATTTATTTCCTGATTTATCATTAATCGATATTTTCCATATTATCATACAAATAAATTTATATTTTAAATGAAACTGATATAATAATAATCATACAAATAAATTTATATTTTGAATGAAACTAATATGTATATTTTTTATGTTATAAATATTTAACACTTAAAAAGATTTTCGACACATATATGATGAAACATAATTTAGAATCAAATTTCAATAATTTCAAAAGTTCTACAAACTCAAGTCTTGTAAATTTTTATGACATTTTATTCCAGATGTAATACCAATATTATGCTTTTGATAATTTCCGGTATAACATTTGCTGACGTATTAAACGTCACAGCTGAAATTTATAAAAAAAAAAAAAAGCACAAGATATTGAATTTTTTGGATAGGTAATAAACAAAATAGCGTGTGTAAATATATCTTTGTATACGTTGTTCTTTTTTACGAGAGAAAATATTTTTAAGAAAAATACTGTCAAAAGGAATCAATCGTACCGATAACCCCTATTCGTTGACCTTGGCGGTATTTTAAATACAAATACTTCAGATTTCACAAGTAATACACTTTCATACGTATCCATTGTATTTTTTTGACAAATCACAGAGAAAGGGCTTACGTTCGGGAGTTGAAACTTAACGAAGTACTATTTCAAAATTCGTTTATATTTTGTGACGGATCTCCGCCGTGATTTGATAACTTTATCTCTAGTCACGCCTCCCATCCCCACACAAACACCGTTAACCATGGATTATTTTACTAGTGATAATAGATCGCCTTTTGCATAGTACATATAACATACATATATGCTCACTACTTGTAGCCTAAATTGAAGCGAAGAGGATCTATTTTCATTGATTTACTCTTTATGTAGAATATTTTTCTAATCTTCAGATCTTCAGGTTCAAAATGAATTAAACTCATATCACGAATTGCATTTAACGATACTTTATTAAATAGCAGAAAATAAATTTATCAGAATCTTTTTCTTTGAAGATTATTTCTTAAAAGTTTAATCAAAGACTAACTTCAAAATGATTCATAAAATTCATGTAGGGGTGCTCCTCTAAATCCAAGGGCTGCTAAAGATATTGAAAGCCCTCATGAATAATTCAAGAATAATTAAAATGAATTTATATGCGTAACATGGTGTAACATGTGTGACGTTAGATAGGCTATAACTAATGATTCCTATTATAAATGAAACTTTGGAAGCATAAACTTTGAGTTCATATTTACAAAAATAAAAATCGAAAAGGACATTTGTGGAAAAATAATAGACACCTAACAATGAAAGTGCCGAATGATCGACAGGATACTCACGTCCCAGGACGTGGCAATAGCAAAGCGCTTCGAATACCTACACATGATCCAACGTAAATACGTTAAATACAATTTTCTATAAACATTTTTGTTAATTTATATATCACACTATAATTTATATAATATGTTTACCTCAATTCAGAAATTGTAAGTCGTATTAAA